GAAATAATACCCAATTCAAACATAATACCAAATTAAACATAAATACCGAAATAAAAACTCAGGAAGGGGCACTAATAGGGGAGTAAACTTATACCAAATTAAATAACTGGGAATAACAGGGAGAGGGATTAACAGAAAAGGGGGGGAACTAAATCATAAGGGGATAAATTAAAAGGCGGGGGGCTCCATTACTTCATGGAGCCTTGGGGAGGGAGAAAAAAGGCTGAAATGCTCCTGAAGGAGCTCTTACATAACAAGGGGGGACAAGGGGGGACCCAATTGACCTCGAGTCCACAGCCAGCTAAACACAAACATAAACCAAGCGTGAAATAAAATACACACATAAACATAAACAAACCCATTAACCACATGGAGTCCTTTTCTCAGTTCATAAAACCCACCAACCACATGGAGTCCATCCCTCCGTCCATCAACACCAACCCACCACCTACACTTTAAACCCAAACTTTAAACCCAAACCCACCACCCAAATGGAGTCCATTTTCAATTCATAAAACCCACCACCCTCATGGAGTCTATCCCTCCGTCCATCCCCCAAACCCACCACCCAAATGGAGTCCTTTTCTCAGTTCATCACATCCAAAACCACCACCCACATGAAATCAAAATTTTGTCCATAGACCCACCACCCACATGAAATCCAGTTTGTACACCACCCTCAAGGAGTCCATCCCTCCGTCCATAAAGAAACCCAGTGTTTTTTTATTTTTTTTTCCACCCAAAGTAAATTTTTTCAATTTGTCCATACACCAGAAACCCACCCTAACCCAAACAATACCAAAAATAACCTGTGCATAACCATAACCATAACCTAACTACACTGCACTACCTAGACGCAGAGGAAGGTACTCGTCTGCTAAAGGTGGCAGCCTTCCATGAAAAGAAAAACCAGTTCAAAATCTACGGGGGAATGGTGAAGACAGATTTGGAATTCCCTTCACCAAGACAAGGGCGCCTATGGAGCGGTTCAAGGCGGGTGGACCTTGAGATTTCGCCACAAACGCTGCCAAATGGTGGGATCCATAGAGGCCCTTTCGGTGGTATAGATCCCACGAACCGCCCTCAGAATGTCTGCTACCACCACCTGACAGGAAAGGTCTTTACGTTGAAGGGAAACCCGACACCTTGCCATCCAAGTGAAATACTTAACCACTGAACTGACTACATAAAGAGTGCCCAAATCAAAAGCCCTCCCCCTTGAGTTGGACGTCCCATACGCCCACTCCGCATAAGTCCAGCGGGATAAGCAGGGGATGCCTAAGGCGGCTGAGACCTCTTTGTAGACCTGTACGTTAAACGGGCACTCGAGGAGGAAGTGGTCCATGGACTCCACTTCCCCGGAACATTCCACCCGAGTACAACCACGATCCGTTATGTTCCTGTACTTCAAGTTCACCCGAACGTAAAGTCTACCGTGGAAGGAGAGAAACGCCACGTCTCGGTATTTCTCCGGAAGGCGCCTGGAGTTGATGTTTTTCAACCCCGAGGCGAGAGTACTTGGCGGGCAGTCCTTCAAAGCAAGCTGAATGCCAAAGTGGGTGGCCAGGACCCTCCCGTCGAGAAGCTTCTTGGGAGTGTCCCGAACCTCCTCCACCGTGACGTTCCACCTGCGCAGAATTCCCACTCCCTCGATGACCGAAGACGGAAGATAGCTAGAATGCCGAACTCTCATGCTCTTCACCCTCCCACCCTGAAACCAGTCCACCAGGAAAGGTGTGACCCACTCCCTGAATATACATACCCAGCCAGGCTGCTCGTCCTTCAGGAGAGCCCCGAAATTCCTTTTCAGGAAGGTGTTAGTAAAGAAGACGATGGGGTTGACCATGGCCAGACCCCCGTCCTTTCTGGCCAGGTAAGTGACCACTCTTTTGATGAGGTTCAGCCTGTTCCCCCACAACATGCGGAAGAACAGCGCAAACATCCGAGCGTGGAGGGACCTGGGCAAAAGGAAGATGTTACTGACGTAGCCGAATACGGTCAGAACATAGGTTTTGATTAGGTTCACCCGTTCTCTGAACGTCAGTTTCCACCTGTGGCTCTCCTCTACCTTGCTAGAAGCTATGGCAAGCCGTTCGGTCCAGTTCCTGAGAGCCAGATCACCTGGTCCGAACACCACCCCCAAGATCTTAATTTCAGGCTGGGCCCTCGGGAAACCGTCTGGAAGAGGGAACTGGTCCCCCTCCTTCCCGCACCAGAAAACTACGCTCTTGTCCCTGTTGACACGAGAGGCTGAAGCGGCAGAATACGCTAGGATTAAATCATCCACCTCCGTGGCCTCCCGAGTATTGGAGACCACTATGGAGATGTCATCAGCGTAGGCAACAACCCGTAAAGGCCTCTCCGGAGCCCTGGCCACTCCCTGTAACGTGCCTGCCTCGACCCTTCGGATGAAGGGATCGACTGCAAACACGTACAAGAGTGGGCTGAGAGGACAGCCTTGCCTGACCCCGGATCGGATCCTAAACGTCCTGCCCCTCCACCCGTTCACAAGAGCGAAGCTTTCGGCCCCTCTGTACAAGGTGATTATCCAATTGACAAATTTTCCCGGCAAGCCATACTTCCGTAAGACTGACCACAGATAACGGTGATCTACTCGATCAAAAGCTTTGGACTGATCAAGTGCCAGAAGGTATATCCTCCTTTCTCCGTCCCTGCACTTCTCGAGGGCTTCCCTGACTTCGAAAACGGCATCAAAGACAGTTCTGCCCTCGGTTGAACAGTACTGGGAGGTGGATAGGACACGCCTCGCTAGGCCCTGTACTCGTTTCATCAAAATCTTTGCCAGGACCTTCCTGTCGACATTTAACAGGGATATGGGGCGCCAGTTCCCCACATCCGCTGTGTCGAGCACGTTCGGCTTGGACAGCAAGATCAGGGCAGAAGTCCTCATCGAGGGTGGCAATAATCCTTGAGCCAAGCTCTCATTAAACACCTCGGTCAGATGAGGGGCCAAGAGGTCGCAGAACTGTTGGTAAAACTCGGCCGTCAGACCATCAGGACCTGGCGACTTACACTTGTTCTGCTGTTGGATACTCTCTGTGACCTCTTCTATGGTGATCTCGCTGACCAACTCGTCAAAAGAGAGGTCGCTATGCTCAGGGAGCGTGAGCTCGCTCAAGAAGTCATCCACCCTTCTCCCGTGGGAGGTTCCCTCCTCGCTACATTGGGGGCTGCCCTTTCCGAGGAGCTCAATATAGTAGTCGCGGACCACCTTCAGAATCCCGCGAGGAGACTCCTCTAGGGTCCCGTCGGTGCCCCGCAGACTAGGGATGGACTTGGTACCTTCCTTCCGCTTGCAGCTAAGATAAGGATCGGGCGAGCGGTATGACCCATGATCTCTCTCTTTTACAAGGGAGGCGTACCTGTCATACTGATAACTCCTCATCAGGTTTTTAACTGCCGCAATGTCCTCGGGGTCACCTCCCTGCGAGATCAGGATGTCTAACCTCCCAAGCAAGCCCAGATACATCTTGTACCTGGAGGACTGCATGTTCCGGGCGAGATTGCGAAACAGCCGTTGAGTTCTGGCCTTCACCATCTCCCACCACTCAGACTTCGTTTGGCCTAAGTCGGCCAATGTCATCTGATCGCGAAAGAATTCCATGAAGGCTTGCTGAACCCTCTGTTCCACCAGGAGGTCTGAATTTAGCCGCCAGATCCCTCTACCCTTAGGTGGGGTACTATAGACGTTCAACTCGCAAGACAAAATGTGATGGTCGGAGAACTCCACCGGTGTAAGCACGGGTGCCGCCACCGGGAAATTCTCCTTAAAGAAAAACCTATCTATCCTACTCTGACAGCTACCTCTGTGATAAGTGTACCCACCCGTGGGATTGGGAGTGTGATGAAGGTACACATCGACCAATCCAGCCTGACTAACCATCTTATTTAAAAAATAGGAGTCATACCCCAGCCTCTGAGTGGCGTCTCTCCTGTCTTGAGGCCTAGTTATGGTGTTAAAGTCACCACCAAACAGGATTTGCTGGGATGTATAAAGGTAAGGCTCTATCTCAATAAACAGGCGCTTCCTCTCCCACTTAGATTGGGGGCCATAGATATTAATTATCCTGAAAGGTTGCCTGCCCATTGAGACATCTAAAACCACACACCGTCCTTTTTGCAACTCAATAACCCTGTTGATGCTAACATCAACGTCCTTAAATAGGATGGCGATTCCCCCATATCTCTCTGTGGCTAGAGAGAAGTAGGAGGGCCCCCATCTCCAGTCCTGCTTTGCAGCGTGCAGGGCCGCGAGGGTTTCCAGCCGGGTCTCCTGTACCAAGATGACATTGTACGGAGCCCGGCTGAGGTGGTCGTAAACCAAAAAGCGGGCCCTGCTGGACTTAATGCTGTTTACATTCACCGTAGCCACAGAGAGTACAGGAAAAGTCGCCATAAGGGCATTAAGTATAAGGAGACTTTCCCTTCCTTCTGCGGTACCCCTCCTCCTCCGTGTCGGAACCGAGGAACCTCTTCACTGAGACTCCGGGATACAGTGGCCCGTCGTCTCTCAGAAGCACCTCCTGTCCCACCTCAACCCCTGCCACCACCTCGGGGAGGTTCGCCATCTCCTCCTCGTACTCACAGTCGGCCCAGCTGGAGGACAGTGCCTCGTACCTGTTAGATACGGGCACCGGGGCCTCCTGCAAGCCCGAAGAGGAGGATGACGCCCGTGCCACACCACCCTTATAAGTGGCGTTGTAAGAATATTAAATAGTTAACTTGTTTATATGTATTTTATGCTTTTATAAGGTTTATAACATGATTATTGCTGACTGAAGGAATATTGAATACTTAAACGACATAATATGCTGACTGTGACAGACTAAGGTATTTCTTCTATAGGATGTAAGACAATGCTAAAATTTCAGGATGTCTTGCCCATTCCGATTTCAGGATATTCTTTTCCAGACGTATGCAAAAGCTTATCTTTCCATTGTCAGAATAACGTAATACAAGGAAGTAATAAATCTTATAGTCTGTACTGTATTTGCATATACCATGGCTAATGTAAGCAAACTATGTATAAAAGCCAGCTCTGGAATACACTCATTTGAGAGTCTTGTAAAGCTGTTGTCCGTGTGTTATTGCTTACAAATGATTCTCCATCAACATTGATTATGGTGACCGAGGGATCGAGAACCGAGGGGATTAGAGTCCATTACAACATTAACCCTTTCAGCTTGGTGTCTAGAAGTGGGATAGATGAAGTGGATCAGCAAAACCATTTGCGGTGAGTAGCCTTTTTGTGTCTTATTTGACGCTGATTGTCTATGACCCCCCTTTGGTTCAGTAAGACTGTATCCAGTAGATAGGAAAGGTGTAAGGACTCTAGTTATATTGAGACTATAAGAGGTCTCCGGTTTATTAGACATTTGGTCTAAATATATATAGGGGTTCTTGGTAACCCAGGTTAGTATCTAAGATAGATACAGGTTTTTGAGACCATAAGAGGTCTCCGGTTTATTATAGGGTTTTGGTAACCCAGGTTAGTATCTAAGATAGATACAGGGTATCTCAGGTAGATACAGGTTTTGAGACCATAAGAGGTCTCCGGTTTATTAAGTCTATAGGTGTTCTGAGCAGCACGGTTTGTAGATCTATAAGTATAACCCAAACTTCTCTTTCTCCCGGTCACCTTTGTTTGTCTTAAGTGTTCTTTGTGGGTGATTGTTTGTCTATATTGGGGACACACTTTGGTAAGTTAGTAGTGTCCCCACTCTGAGTCAGCAGTATGGGAAATGTGAGTTCATGTCCTGAGTGACCAATATATGTACATGTATATGTGTGTGTATGTATATATGTGTATATGTATGTATATATGTGTGTGTATATGTATATGTGTATATATAAGATAGCAGTACTTTTAAACAAATGGAGGTTTTAAAAATACATAGGGATTAAGGAGAGAACGCAGGTAACTTGTTTTTCTTTGGTTTTTACCATATATTGGGGCTGATGTGTACTGTAGTCCTTGCTGCTGTCCAGTAGTGATGGGAGTGAGCGCAGGACTTATCTTTCTGCAAGATAGCAGTACTGTATATTAGAAAAGAAATGACTCACAGGTTGTACCTGATAGACCTACTTAAATCTTTTTGCTTTATTCTTTCTGTCGCATAGAAGTATAAGTTTATTACTCTGTTTTATTGTAAGTTATTTCACATGGGAACTGTGTGCCTGGTATGATTGTTGCTTTAAAAATACTATAAGCCCACTACACTTATTATGAGAGTGGGATAGTGTAAATGTGTTGCATTGTTTGCATGATGAGCTCAGTATATTTTATAACTGAGACAAAAAGTCACTTCATTAGTATTTGAAAGTTAATTCCCCATATGGGATTAATTGTATAGAAACACCAATCAGCACATCTTCCCTGCCCTGTGTGTTTGTTGCAAAGGATCCATACTAAATATGATTTTTGTTTGAAAATAACAGAGCAACATTTACATTTTCAGCGGTCCAACACATGCTTTATTTTGCACTGTAAACTAACCTTTTATTGCAACAGGTTCCTTTTAAATGATCCAGTGTAATAACTACTGCTTGTGTCTTCTATGTCTCACATTATGTGTTATTTTAAATTGTGGTATATAGCCTGAATCAGACATCATGGACAAAAGGTTTTTACCTGTGTTACTAAGGGCTCTTGGAGACTGACCGGTCTAAAGGTTTGCCATGCCTTTAAAACATGGTATAGTATAAATTTTTTAAGTCTCTGAGAGTTCTGAAAGATTCTGGTGAAACCATGTCTGTTTAATCTGGTCCAGATGTTTGTTCAATTTCTATAGGATTTAAGTTGATGCAGCATCATCTCAGATTAGTTAATGGAAGTTTTATACAAATAGTTGAGTTATGAGCGCGCTATATAAATGGATCCTTTCTTTAAATATAATACTATAGTAGATTAAAGTAATGAAGTTAATTAAGAAAATGTATACATAAGAATCCCTAAAATAAATCTAAACTAAAATTGGTATACCTTCCAATAATATGTTCTGAATACAGCTGTTAACTGTTTATTCTGTGTAAATGGTGATTGTGATAATGTGTGATAAGTGTGCAGTTTAACTTGAAAGTGGTTTAATTTATATGTTGCTGTATTGTTTTAAATTATATGTGAATCAGTTTGTCACAGTCTAGTGATACTGATAAGAATGACAGCCAAATAACCTAGCAAATAACTGTTTTATTAGTTGTTGAATACTAGCGTTTTGGCCAAGAATAGTTGGAGATTTGGAGGTGTTAGTTTAAGATTGCTTTTATATTGTGTCTATCCATGTTTCCTAGGAGGGAGACAGAGTGTGTAGTTGTGTGCCCATAAATGTGATTTCTGTATTGGCATATCTGCTGGGTACCCATTATGTGTTTCTACAAAGATATTGCTTTGTGAGATGACGTGTAATATTACATTGGATGCTGAGTATGAGTTATATGGTTTGAAATGAATTGGTGATTATGAGCTTAGTACTTCAGTAAGATGTGCTAAAATCTGGAACAAAGTGGAAGCTGAAATGTTGGGATTATGGAAGAATAAGCAGTCTATATTTACTGCTTTGGCATATAAGCAGGATGCAAAGGAAGAGATTGGTAATATGATTTTTGTAAAGAAATTTTACAAGTGTTGGAAGGATGAGGCAGGTTTGATGTCTGGAGATGATATAGATCTTTTTAAAATACAGTCATGCCTTGGTAATATGTTGCCACAGTATTATTTGCTTGTGAAACAATTGATTTCAGACTGGGCCAATTTGGATAGCTCAGATTTTCTTACCAAGGTTATAGAAAAGGAAAATGCAGGTTGTTTTGAATTAAGAAAAGATTTAGGAAAGTAAGGTTGCTTATTATGCTCAGGGATTGCAACATTGTCCACCTACACAGGCTGAGAGCAAGGATGGGATGGAGCACATAAAGCCCGTGGAAGGGGTGGTCAAAGAGGGGCAAGGGGATGGAGACAGGGAAATCAGGGTTATAGGGGCAGGGGTAACCAAGGAGGAATAGACAGGAACACTTGTTTCAACTGTGGACAATATGGCCACTGGAGGAATGAGTGTCCACACCCCAGGAAACCCCAGGAAACCCCACACACCCCAACAACCCCACAATTCTCAAAATATGCCCTGTAGGCAAGAACAACACCAGACCCACTCCCAACACCACTGGCCAGCATATCGCTTAGTTCAGGACTTTAGAGCCCTGAATAGTTTAATTGTGCCCATTTCACCCATTGTCCCTGATGTGACATCCCTCATTACAGCCATTCCACATGATGCCACTTGCTTCACTGTCATTGATTTAAGTAATGCATTTTTTTCTATACCTATTGATCAAGAGACACAGCTACTTATGGTTTTTACTTTTTGAAGGCTGTCAGTTTACCTGGACACGCTTACCCAAGGCTATGTGGATTCCCCAGCTGTTTATTCGTTGGTACTCCAACATACTCTAAAAAACATGGACCACCGGTCATGGTTCCGTCCTTTTTGCAAAATGTTGATGATTTGTTGTTATGTAGCCCTAGCTATGAGGCAAGCACTGTGGATACTGTCAGCAACTGTAGGTCACAAGGTTGTTAAACACAAAATGCAATTGTGTAAATCAAAGGTTGAATACTTAGGTTTTGTTCTGGCTTCAGGCACCAGACAATTGAGTCCAAAACGTATTGAGGTCATTCAGAGGATTCCTACACCCACTACTCGGAAGGAGTTGCTCACCTTCCTCGGCATGATTAATTACTGCCACCAATGGATCCCTGAATGCTCCCATTATGACTCAATCCTAAGGGAGGCTGTACGTTCTGACAGCCCTGAAAATGTCTGCTGGTCACCAGACATGCTAGCTGCATATATTGCCCTTACAGTTGTTATTGTGCAAGCCCAGGCTTTAGGACTACCTGTGTATTGTAAACCATTTCATTTGTATGCTTGGGACAATTGTAAAACCATGGCCGCAGTCTGTGCACAAGAGCAAGGAGGCGGTATGCGTCCCATAGCATTCTTTTCCAAAGTAGTTCGAGCTCCGGTACAGGGTATGCCGGCGTGTCTCAGAGCATTGATAGCATGTGCAATGGCTGTTGAAACTGCTACTACTATCACACTAGGGCATCCTACAATACTTCATGCCAGTCACCAGGTCACTCAGCTGACAAATCTCACCACACAACACATGACAGCCCAGCGCTTCAGTGGTTATGAGATTCTTTTTTTAATACCCAGAATCTGTTTTTGGATTAAATAAGGTTTAGAGAAAGATCAGAATGATCTGTTCTCTAAAGAGGGGAGAATAGGCATACTTGAAGAATAGGCATACTTGAAGCAAGCTGCTTTATTTTCATCAGTCAGGCACATAGCAAGCACCATTCAATTCCTCATGAATTCATTTTATATTAGGAATCTCAGGCAGCATGTACAGTCTTTTGTAAGATCGTGTGAACGCTGCTCTTTTTACACACTTACAGATTGATTTTATTCATGTATCCAAAATTGGTAAGAAACAGCAATACTTACTGGTCATAGTTAATCAGTTTAGTAGATGGCATGAGGCCTTTGTGATATCTAGGGAAGATTCTAGTGAAGATTATTGTTACTGAAATTATTCCCAGGTATGGCTGCCCTCTGCAGATTGGCTCTGATAATGGCCCGGTATTTGCAAGTGGGGTTGCCCAGGAACTTGCTAAATTCTTGCAAGTTACCTGGCAGTTTCATATACCCTATCATCCACAGAATACAGGGGTAGTTGAAAGGATGAATAGGACTATTAAGGAAAAGCCCAGAATTTACCCAGGAACATGGGTAAATTGGACTAGATATCTACCAGCTATTTTAGCTGAGATAAGAATATATCCCCACAAGGTGAATTGTTGATAAAACCGAATGGTATGTATGACAATGTTTCTTCGCAGTTTTCCCTTACCTTCACAGGAACCTACTCATTCATACCAGCCCGGTGACAAGGTGTATATCCGTCAGTTGAACAGGACCAAGAAAGGAGGATACCCTTTTGGACCACCTGCTACTGTGATTGCTGTACCCAGAACCGCTGTCCTCACAGATTCCCACGACATCTGGATTCACGCATCCCGAGTGAAGCTGTGTCCAAAGAGGGGAACCAAGGAAGACAACACCACTCCTCGCTCGGAAACAGAAGAATTTCTCCTCAGCGAAGCATCATGGCTTTTACACCATATCGTAGATTGAGAGGATCATACGTACCTGAGACCAAGATTATGTTGTGTGCTATGCTTTCTGGAGTTGTTATACTCCCTCTGATATTGTTCCTTGAATGCCATTATGAGTACAAGTCAATGGCAAGTTTGAAACCTGTCTGTTTCTGGAAAAAGACTCTGACATGATGAACAATTCTTCAATACCCCCAGCCCAATTAGGCCTTAGCCCCTCATCTAGCATTCGTCACACATGCTCCCTCAAGAACCTTTCTCCACCACCTTTCTATCAGCATGTAATATGCAATCATTCATTGACTGAACGCATTTGGATGAATTGGACAAATAGTAACCCTTATAAGTACCAGTTACCCATATGAAATGTGTCTACAGCTAATGAAACCGATGCATTATGTTTGTTTAAAGGTTCACAGAAAATTGTTAGATCTTATAACGCAGAAATGTGCACAGTTAAGGTTACATATCAATGTAAACAGACAGGCCTTATTACTTTTAATAATGATTATATAACTGGTATCATTAATTGGAGAAGGGGACAAATATTAGTCATTATGAACAACACTACAATTGAGAACTATACACTACCTTATATTTTTACACCTTATTACTGTCCTTTATCCTCTACCATAGAACCAAAAGTCAACAACGACACACACACACCTATTCCGTCCACATGTATTAATACAACTGCCTTCTTACAAGCTGTACATGTGTCATTAAAAATCACTACTCCTGTTGTAACATTATGTAACACAACAAACAAAAGGCAGAAAAGGGAATGGTATGACACACTGTTAGATGGTGCTGGAACCACTATGGGTATACTAAATAGTATAGACATGGAGACCCTCAAGAATAAGTTAAACACGGCCAGCATGCATATAGGGACTGGTTTTCATGCTACTGCAAATTGGGCTCCAATTGTTGTTAAATCACAGGTTATAGGATTGGATTTAGATAAATCAATGTATAATTATTTAGATAATTTAACTGTTGCAACTATGAAATTCACTACAGGTCTAAGTAACTGGAGTACCTGTGCCATCAGGTATTTATGGATACAACAACAAGGATTGGCATTAGAAAACACACTAATGATTCCTCAACTAGAGAAGATTAGAGGAATGTGTAACCTCACAGATAATGATTGGTTACTTCTAAAACCCCAATCCAGTAAATGCAATGGATGGTTAACTGGTAATGTTTCACATTTTTCATGCTCATGCTATTTAACATTATATCATACATTATCAAAGGATGTTAAATTAGCTTGTCAATTTAACACATTACCAGTACCAGTTTATGATCTCTTTACCAGGACTTTAACCTGGTGGGCACCCACATACACAGGGGACTATATTTTTCCCAAAGATAACATACACAGGTAGCCACACATATCCTAAAAGGAGAACTCCTTAAGGTGAGTTCACAAATTCAGAATGATTCAGCCCATAATTGGTACAATGCTTTACTGGTTGGTCCCCTACTGGATCTCAGATAATGAAATCATTCTTCTATCATTTTGTTATTATAGTCCTGATTTTATTGTGTATGATTTTATATAACTGTCACCTTAGTTGTACATTGAGGAAGTGAGTACAGAAATGAATCCATAATGCAGAACAGAAACAATTAGAAATTCTCCTCTCTGCCACTGGAGGGTATCAACCCATCTTTAAACTGGGCCTTAGGAATTACCACATGGGAATCGAGGTGAAGAAATTAATGAAAGTCCCGCAGGGAGTGACTAGCACCCCTGAAAATACCATGTGGAAGTTTCTCTGTCCTGGTAAGATTTTATCGATAAGATGAGCAATTGTTTTATTGCTCAAAGAGGGGAATGTAAGAATATTAAATAGTTAACTTGTTTATATGTATTTTATGCTTTTATAAGGTTTATAACATGATTATTGCTGACTGAAGGAATATTGAATACTTAAACGACATAATATGCTGACTGTGACAGACTAAGGTATTTCTTCTATAGGATGTAAGACAATGCTAAAATTTCAGGATGTCTTGCCCATTCCGATTTCAGGATATTCTTTTCCAGACGTATGCAAAAGCTTATCTTTCCATTGTCAGAATAACGTAATATAAGGAAGTAATAAATCTTATAGTCTGTACTGTATTTGCATATACCATGGCTAATGTAAGCAAACTATGTATAAAAGCCAGCTCTGGAATACACTCATTTGAGAGTCTTGTAAAGCTGTTGTCCGTGTGTTATTGCTTACAAATGATTCTCCATCAACGTTGATTATGGTGACCGAGGGATCGAGAACCGAGGGGATTAGAGTCCATTACAACATTAACCCTTTCAATAAGTGGTGGAACTGGTCACCATATCCACTGTTAGCGTAACACACCCGCTTTAAGGACACTGACTGCTATTCAATCTATAACAGTGAAAAAAGTGTTTTGTTTTTAAATCCAAGCTATTGTGACACCAGATCTAATTGGTGGCACTGGTCACCGTATCCACTGTTAGCGTAACACACCCGCTTTAAGGAAACTGACTGCTATTCAATCTATAACAGTGAAAAAAGTTTTTTGTTTTTAAATGCAAGCTATTGTGACACCAGTTAGTGGTGGCACTGGGCACCGTATCCACTGTGAGCTTAACACACCGCTTTAAGGACACTGACTGCTATTCAATCTATAACAGTGAAAAAAGTTTTTTGTTTTTTTAAATCCCAGCCATTGTGACACCAGATCTAATTAGTGGCACTTGTCAGCGTATCCACTGTTAGCGTAACACACCCGCTTTAAGGACACTGACTGCTATTCAATCTATAACAGTGAAAAAAGTGTTTTTTTTTTTAAAACCAAGCCATTGTGACACCAGATCTAATTGGTGGCACTGGTCACCGTATCCACTGTTAGCGTAACACACCCGCTTTAAGGACACTGACTGCTATTCAATCTATAACAGTGAAAAAGGTGTTTTTTTTTTTTAAATACAAGCTTTGTGTCACCAGATCTAAGTGGTGGCACTGGTCACCGTATCCACTGTT